AAAAGACAACCCACAGAGTGGGAAAAAAAAATCTTAACCACTTGTTCTTCAGACAAAGGATTAATATCCAGAACACATGAAGAATTTAAAAAATCAGACTCCCCAAATTTAAGGACCCAATCCTAAAATGGGCACCCGAAATAAATAGACACTTCTCAAAGTGTCTATAAAGGGGCTGGGGATTTAGCTCAGCGGCAAAGCGCCTGCCTGGCAAGCACAAGGTCGTGAGTTCGCTTCCCAGTACCGGAGGGGAAAAAAAAAAAAAATCAAAGTGTCTATAAAGAAGTCCAAATGGCAAACAAATATATGAAAAAATGTTCATCATTAGTCATTCAAAACATGCAAATTAAAACAACACAGATTTTATCCAAAACATGCTAATTAAAACAACACAGGTTTTATTTCACTGCATGAAGAATAGCTATTATCAAGAAATCAGTAAAAACAAATGCTGGTGGACCTGTGAGGGGAAAGGAACCCTTTTCCACTGTTGGGAGTGGAGACTGGTACAACCACTGTGGAAGTCAGTGTAGAGAGTTCTCAAAAATCTAGAGCTAGAGGTCCTATTTGACCCAGCTACTCCCCTTCTTGATATCTTTCCAAAAGAATTAAAAGCATCATACCACAGCAATATATGTGCATACATGTTTATAGTGGTACAGTTTGTAATTGCTAAATCTTGGAAACAATCCAAATGCCCATCAACTGACGAATGGATAAAAACGATGTGTTTTTTTTTAATATAATAGAGTACTACTTAGCCATGAAGAAAGATAAACTTGAGAGTTTTATAGCTAAATGGATGGACCTTAAGACCATACTCTCAAGTGAAATAAATCAGACACACCTGTATAAATATTGCATTGTGTCCCCAGTGTGAGAAATTGAAAGTGTGAATAAGAACCAAAATGCATAATAGATATTGTGAAATAGGAAGAAATTATTCAAAAGGAAAGAGCAAATCGGGAGGAAGGAGGAACGGAAAAAATGAGAAAAAAGGGACAAAATGGAAACAATGCTTTGTAAATGAAGAAAGAAAACTTGAAGGGAAGGGTGGGGAATGGGAAAAAAAGAGGAACCAAGATATACCATATAAAGGTACAAATTCCCTACAATGAATGGGGCATTATGTATATCTAAACTGTACCAGTAAACCTAATAATAAAAAAGAATACTATGTTGATGAGCCCATGTGTAAAATGTTTGTGTGCCTTTGCATATGAATGTATAAAGAATTTTTTTAGTATATCACAACAAAATATAAATATAAATTTTCTATTTAAGTGAGATTTCCAGGGGTATTTATTCTATTCTTTGTACCTTTCTGTAATATTTCCTAGTATAAATTTATCATTAAAAACACAAATTAAACTTTTTGTATTGAAATACACATTTTTCTTAATAAATATAGGTAAGAAAATGAATAAGGAATTCAGTGTCACCCCAAATCCCAAGCAATGGACAATGTTCACATTCTTTTACATTTTCTACATAAATATGTACATTGATTGCTATGCAAGTGGAACAATAATGTTTATAATATTTTATAATCGGTTTTTACTTTACTGTACATTATGTACTTCCAAGCTACTACGAGTGGTTTTTCCCAAGCTATTATGTCTCTTTATTTTTTTGTATCTGCTAGTATTTTATCAGATGGCTGTATCAACACCACTTAATCAATTCTGTTTCTAGGAAGTTAGTGTTTTCTAATTCTCTGCTAGTGTAAACAGCACTCAGATGACTTCCTCATAACTGAATTTTCACCCCGCCTACCAGGCTACAGTCAAAGACCCAATTGCTTCCTAAGGTGTCAAAGCACAACTCAGTCTCTCAACCACTTCTACATCCACAAATGAATGCTCCAGCACTAAACAGGCCCCACCCGTTCGGCTTCCTGTGTTAGATACCCAGATCTGGGAATAGTAATAGCTGATGAATTTATTAACTCATTGTCACTTTAAAAGTTTTAAAAAATATTTTGTCCACTATCCAGTGGTCCTTAGTAAGTTGTTCTGAATACTAGTTTCTCATTACTGAAAGTGAAACTACAGTATTTTTTAAAATATTTACCTTTCACTTCCAATTTGGGACCCTCCACTTCTTAGATTCAGCTTCCCTCTCTACTAGTGAGGGGGTCCCACACACACTGCTCCCCACGCAAATCTCAGACTACATCTTGTCCCACATTGCTCTTCTTTCAACAAGCTCTGTCACTTTGGCTCTGACTGTCCTCATTCAGGGCTTCTGTAGTTGCTAGTTCCCCTGCCTAGAACAGCTTGTGGTTAGATGGCACTTACCAGCCCCTGCTATTTAGGGCTTGTTCAAACACCATCTTCTTGAAAGGCCACCTCTGACAGCCCCTTATGAAGTAGCTTCCACCCTTCTCCCCTCCACAGCACACCGCTTGCTTTGTATTTTTTCTAGCTGCGTTTATCTTTCTCTGCTCTTTGTCAAATCATGTATGTTCTACCTTCTCACACTAGGGTGTAGGTGCCATGAGATCAGGCACTGCCTCTCCCCTTTCTTCATTCTCATGTTATTGTGCTGTCAACACCTTTAAAAAGCGCTTATTTCAAGAGCCATTATCCTGTTCCAGACGTTTCCAAAGTGTGCAGTGTGGGAGGTGGTATGGGAGGAAGCCGCGAGTTTCAGGGACTGCATTGTAAGCACACATGTGACCTGGGGACAGAGCCTGAGACGCCAGATGTCACAAGACTCCTGCTGCTTCCCAGCCATGGTGTGACTGGTGGCAAGTCATACCACTCTGCCCTCCACAACCTTCAAAATGCGTGTCAGCTTTCTAAACCAGTTCATTCGCATCCACAGCTCTTCCCACCACCCACAGCACACATGACCTGCCTGAGAGCAGTCAGTTCTAAAAGGGCAACACTAAAAAGGGCCAGTGAATCCACGAACCTAGGGATTATCACTATCATTCCTATAAATTTAAAAGTGAACTTAAAATACACTAGACATTAATAGTCACTTATTTATAACCAGCAAGCATTGAATAATAACCTAAGTAGACTTGGAGCATTCAAACTCTGGGTGCTAAAAGAATGGTTCTCAACCATTTTGTTGTTATAGCACAATGTCAAACATCAGAATTTTGAGAAAACAATTGAAAAGGTTGAGATTCAAGAAAACACTAGATATGTTAGCAATAAACGCAACTTAACAGCTACTGAGTATAGCAACAGCCATGCCTCAGAGTGCTTAGCATGGCCCGGCAGTCCTGATTCACTGTAACACTCATCTTCAGGCATTCAGACTCTTCTTGCAGACAAGACCCCCTTGGCAGTGGTCAAGGACATAATCCAAAAGCTTAGTCATCTCTGTCTTGTACCTCTCTCTTTGGTGAAGGTTTGACTTGCATTACACGATATTTCTTACATTAAATTATCTGTACCATGTTGCACAAACATCTGAAGTCCATGTCTGTGGGACAGACTGCCTGATAGTAGAGTATTCATGTCACACATTGATCCAAAGTGGGCAGCCTATTTCCAGGTAGAGCAAAGTGCTGAACTCCTTATTTCAAACATTCCATTCCATAGTCATCAACCATACTACTTCTGTGATAAGGAAAAGACCTGATTAAATTTATGTAAAGCTAATAAATATGGTTTTAAAAAATAAATGAAAGCATCATCAGAGTTGCAAATAATATTGAGAAGTGTTAAATGAAGCCATTCACTTATTAATGAATTTGCTCATTCAACAAATATTTATTAAATAATTTCTGAATGCTTGGTTCCTTCCTGGTTGAGAAAGAGATGTGTGTGTGTGTGTGTGTGTGTGTGTGTGTGTGAGAGAGAGAGAGAGAGAGAGAGAGAGAGAGAGAGAGACTGTGAGAACAGTTCCTGTAAGAACAGTTCCTTCTCTGTGGAGCTTAATTTCCAGTAGGGGAGACAGACAATAACCAAAAACAATTTTGAAACTAAATAATAGGAGTCAGGATTGGTGTAGTCACTGCAGAGGAATTGACAGTGAGGGGGAGAAGAGCAGGGAGCCATTATGGACAATGTGGTCTGGGAATGACTCACCGCAAGGGTGCAGTTGAGAAGAGAAGGGAAGGGAGGAAAAAGACGAACTGCAGAATCTGGACGGAACACTGTTCGGGCACAGGCCAACAAGACAACAAAGGTCCTGAAGCAGAGGCATGCCTGTCAGTGGTCACCGTGGCTAAAGGAGAGTGTTAGAGAGGTGATATCAAGAAGTGCTGGGGTCAGAAGACACAGAAAATCAGTAGGACCTGCAAAGGCTTTGGCTTCTACTCCTTCTAAAGTGAGAAACCAAGTTTTCAGTAAAAAGATGATCTCTAAATGACCCCTTACTTACAATGGCTTGACTTATGATTTTTCAACTTCATGATGGTACCAAAGAATTTTTAAAATTTTGACCTTTCCCTTGTATAGCAGCATGTGGTAGGAGACTTTCACAACGCTGAGTAGCAGCAGGGAGCTGCAGGTCCTGAGCACCTAGGTACTTGATAGGGTAAACTGACACCTACAGCACTGTGTTGCTGTGTTGTGCTATTCCACAGCTTGTGTGTATTGTACGCATTTTGACTTACGTTTTCAACTTGCAATGGACTTATCAGGGTGTTAGATAACATCTATGAATCAAAGGACATCTGTATCAAACTTGTTGGTAAAGCGATAGCTTCTAGGAGAACCGACAGCCAGAGGGAGAGAAGAAACGGTGGTGTTTGAACGAACCGGGGTTATGTGTGGGGTGGGAGAGCAGCTGAAGTCTAGATAGATTCTGAAAGTAAAATCAAAATAATTTGCTGCTGTATTAGATGTGAGATGGGAAAGAAAGGTACAGATCAAAGATAACTCCCAGGCACTTAGCCTGGAAACTGGCAAAGTGGCACTCCCTTTTTGGAGCTGAGAATACTACAAGAGGAATGGCTATGGAATAGAAATAAGAAACCTGATTTTGAAAAGCACCCCATTCTGTCCACACCAGCAGTCACAAACCATACACGGGTATTTAAGTTTACACTTTAATTAATTAAAATAAATGAGAAATTCAGTTGCTCTGTTGCAGTTCAAGTCTCACGTGATCAGTACCCAGTCACATGCGGCTAGTGGCTACCATGGTGGACAGTGCAGGTGTCACAGTGCATTTGCATCCTCACCATCACAGAGTTCTATCAGCTCTGCTGGTGGGACTTAAGTCTTTACATCCTGGGCCATGTTAAGTGCTCTACATACATTTTCTCCTTAATTTTAAAAAGATTCTATGAGTCAAACAATGTTATCTCCTTTAACAAACAGTATCACAAGGGTTCAGAAAAGCTAAGTAATGTATCTTAAGTCACGTAATTACAAAACCAGAGTAACAAGCAAGGGCTGGATTCTAGGCTGTCTACCTCCAAAGCCTAAGTGCCACAGACTAGATTAAACTAGTTTGCAGTGAGACACTTATAAGACAATGTTTAGTAGCATTTTTTTTTTAATCTTTTCTTTTAGTATATGTTTGCAATATCCCTTAGGTTATTGGCAGCAAAGCATTGAAACACAGGACAGAAATCAGATCTGATAGATTTAAGGGTAAAAATGAACCTCTCAGGAGATTTGTGTGTTCTGTATCATACATAAACATAATCTATTCCAGCATACTAGCGGTTAAAAGGAAATACAAATAATCAACAAAGGCACTGATGTTAGGTCTTTTGATGAGGTAACAATCATGAAAGGATAGCTAAACAGGAAAAGTTTGACACCAGGACAATGAGGACACTCTTCTTTTATCCCACAGATTTCAAGCTGGTGTATGGTACCCTATCCTCAGTGGACATCTGGAAACATATGGAATATTTGGGGTAGAATAGCGAGTGCTATGGACATTTCTTGGCCATGTTCTTGGGTTAAGAGTCTAGTGATGCTTGCCACACTCCAAATACCAAAACTTCAACAACTGGGCCAAGTAAGAACTTTGGCCTACTGTTTCTCAAGCGATACTCACAGCCCATAAACTGAAGCAATATGGGCATAGGTAGTGACACAGGTTATGGTCAAATAAACTGTTATTCCTGTCTGTCCTAGTATTTGTACTTGCTGCTTGGCTTCAGACGGTTACCTAAACTGAGGGTTCATTCCCCCATCTTTATAATAAGGAAAACCACAGGTAATATGCATCATCTAGGATGGTTCTGAGAATTACAAAATATTTCAAGGTCTTGGCTCAATGTTCAGTTTAGGAAGAATGTCAAACATTATTAGATGCAGAAAAGGTAGAGGAACCCTAGCATGGACTGTAAAAACAGTAAGATGGTAATTCATATAACAAGCCTAAAACAGCACTGTCCAATCAAATATGGATGCAAAATTACAAGCACATGCAATTTCTCAAATTTCTCCTAGCCACACTTAAAAAGATTAAAAAGTAATATAATTTTACTAGTAAGGTAAAAATTTTACTAACACATAAATAATGAACTATTAACTATTCAAAAAATTTATCCTAATATATAATCAATGTAGAAAAATCTTTGAGGTATTTTACTTTTCACACCAAGTCTTTGCAATCTCATATGCACTTGTCAATTCTGGCACCCAGCACAGGAAGGCTGTTTTAGAAGTCTCAGCACATTTAGAGACTTTAGTCTCAGGGTCTCTGTACAAGCTAGAGGCAGTGCTGTGGAATGATTAAATAGACTGAGTGGTCATAACAAGACAGTTTTGCAATCCAGCTCTACTACTTCCTGTGTCCTTGAACAAGCTAGCTAATCAAATACTCATTCTCTTATTTGCAGATAGAGATAACAGGGCCAGGCCCTCAAATGCTGCTCTGAAGATCATGTATGTGAAATGTGAGCCCAGCGCCTTCAACCTACTTCTGAAATGTGAGTGGATACTTGTATTTGGGCCTGAGAAATGGCACGCAAGTCTTGTTTTTTTGTTTTTTGTAGTTCTGGGATTTTTAGTTCAGTTGTAGCTATAAGAACACCATTTGAAGTATGGCTGAAGTCAATGCAGTAATTTACTCTGGAGTCTAATACGTAAAGTATGAAGTTTGTGTAGCTACATTTCAATGCAAAGTTTCTACTAGAAATTTAAAATTCTTGATGTGATACAATGTTCACATACAACAGAGCAGTGATGGCGAATCTTTTACAGCTTTCGATGAAAGCTGCCACGGAGGCATGTGTGCCATAGGCTCACCACCACTGCTATAGAGCAAACTTAAATGATTAGTACCTTATTTGCTATAAAAGCAGTTCTACATGTAAATCACTGGGCTATAATTTCAATATAGCAGCCTCAAGACTACCCAGAATTTATTAAATTCCTAGTTGTTTAAATGTATCACTAATTTCCTATAACATTAAAAATATGAACAAAGCTTATTAGCACAAACACATTTATTTATTTACTAACCAAAGAGATGATCCTAGTGAAATCAACACTTTGAAATAGTTGCATGTAAAATGCTTGTGATAAAGGTAATTGACCAAAATAATGACAAAAAAAGGTATGGAGATTTGCTCATTGAACTGAGCTTATTCATTCTCAAAGCTAATTCCTGTTCAAGTGATGATAGTTTATTCTACTTTCTCATAGACTCGAGTACAGGTGACATTGTTCATGACACAATCCTAGAAGAAAGAAAAAATATTAGAGTTAGACTTGTCTCACAGTCCAGAGCACTGAGTAATAAAACGTTAGGTTCAGAATCCTACAAAACCTTGTAATCTATTCCACATATGGAAAAAACATGTTTCAGGATTCCTTGGTTTGAGATAAGCTAGATCCCATCGCTTTGATGAAAACCAAAGTGTTGCAGATAATATCTAAAATTACTTATTTGGTCTTGGCAAATTTATTCATTTTGAAGAAATGGATAAAGGTATGCATGCCAAGAAGGCAGCCTGGCGGCCTTCCAGGATTACACAGCCCCACAGGAGCTCACTAAGGACAAAGCCCAGCTCCAGCTACATCCTCAGCTACATTAGCAAGGGCTGCCATGCTAACAAGTGTTCTTGCATTTAACTTTTATTCTGTATTTTTTCCTTTCCAAACTTAGTTCTCCTGTTCATAGCCAGTGATAGAGAACAGCTATGGAACTACGAATACAACAAGCAGAGTAATTGGGAAGCAGTCCGACACTTACCACAATTAACTTCCCATCTTGCAATTTTCTGGTTATTGTGCTTTCCTTCCCATCCCACTCCTGGTGCTGAACCAACGCACCATCTGTAAAGGTGCAGACCGTCTGCAAAAATAAAGCATACCCTTAACCTTCCAAAGGACAACACAAGCATTTCTATGACTCAGAACCCCCTTAATCAACATTTCTTTTCCATCCTCTTTTCTGGGCTTCCTTTGTCAATCACACTGATTTTACTCACAAAATAGCTTGGGTTTTTCATTCTAGAAGCTCAAAAAAGACACTTATTCTGTAAAGCAGATTCTCTTACTAGTTTGTCAAAACTGAACTCAGAAGATAACTTTTTCAGTAAGTTTTTTACTACAAACAATAAAAATGCTATAATACAACCTATGATTCCAGCAGCCTCGGTGATTTCACAACATGCTGTGGCTGACCTGAGTTTTTCGGCCATCAGCTGTAGTCTCTTCAAACTTCTCTCCCAGGTTACAAGAGAACTGTGTTGTTTTCAGAGCGCTCTCGGTTTTCACGCTGAGGTGGTTGCCGTCGCAGGTGATGACACAGTCTGGCTTGGCCATTGCACCCATCTTTCGCATGGCTACTCCCACTCCTGTGGAATAGTCATCATGTTAACAACAGAAAACCAGCTATAACTTACATCAGAAAAACGATAATTCAACCGTAATCACTACGCCTGGCGTATTTTCATTTATTTGCTTGCAGGATCTTTATGCACATTAATTTAGTAATTTGCAGAAGCCTCCCAACAATCCTGAGCCAGGTGGATACTACTGTCTCCACTGGAGGTGAAAAAGGCACCGGAGCCTCGAGTTTGTTCTGCTAGGAAACACCAGCACAGACAACGAGGTCTCAAATCTCAGCTTGTGGCTATCATGCCATGCTGGCCTTGAGAAGTCAGGGAAACTTCACTCCCTAACTTCATTTACTCAAAGCAGTTGACAGAAGCTAAAGATAAGGGTTCAAAGTTGCAAACTCAGGAGCCAGCTCAGTCTTTTTCTATACACTGGATTCTGCCAACCATTGCAGTCCAACTCTGATACACAGGCTCACCCATAGAAAGCCCCAAACAAATAATTAATAGGCTGCACAAAATAAAAACCCATTCCCACGGTGATAGATATTCAAATAGCACAATGTTTTGAGCTTGTAGCACAATCATGCTATTAATAAATGGAAACATTCTTACCCTGGAAAACAGAAAATATTTCAAAGCTGTATAATATTCCTTTTTTTTTTTTTTTTTTTAGTTTTTTAAGACAAGGTTTATAGCCTTGAACTCAGTACATAGCCCATTCTGGCCTCAAATTCACAGCAATCCTCCTGGCCTCAGCCCCCTGAGCGCAAGAATTACAGGCGTGCACCACCACACCCAGCTACGATTTTGTATTTTTCTGGGTAGATTTTTTCCTACTATCACCATGATTGTGTGCTGATTACTCAAAACACAGTCTGTAAAAATCTTGAGGTTGACTTTTCTTTTTTGCAGCCTATTCATTACTACAGTAAACAGCCATGGCATTCCACATTATTAAATTGCATATTAACTTATAATCTGTGTATTTCCCCTATTTCACAAGTGAGACTACAAACCTACAGCAAGACTGAGTGTTCCTGGTCAGAATACTCAGCCAAGCTCTCCATGTCCCCTTGGAGCCTTCTCTCTTGCCGACTCAGAACGCCTTTCTTATTAGTTGAGTCATTATTTACTCTTACTCTGGACAAATAAATGGGTTCTTTCCATATGGTAATTGTTCCTTGAAAGAGTTGAGCCTAGACAACCTTCAGGATTCCAGAACTGAGCTAGCCCACATTTGCTCTCAGTGGGAAGAGAAACTGTTCTCTACCTGGTCCTCACAACTGTGCAGTGTACAAATCTTTGTCACAGATGAATAGAGTAAACAGTTTTTTTTCACTCATCTTGGTCACTGAAAAAAGAAAAATGCTGCGTTTCTGTTCTATTGGTTGTATGGTAACATACTAATAATTCACCACACACCGGCCCTAAGCCCACACTGCCTTGGATAAAGGATACTCTGAAGTATCCAGTGACAGGGCCTCACTAGTGGAGAGTCATTTAGTGACAACCAGGTTAACTTCTGGGAGACCAGCTTTTGAAGCGACATCCTCCTCCTCCTCCTCGCAGTCCCTGTAGGTGGAAATCCCCCTGCAGAGGGGATCCACGCTATGCTAACTAACTTCATCTCACTTTCTAGTGGCCTGTGCCAAAGGTCCACTCCTGCTATCTGTCTGATGCCTCGACCAGCATGCAATCGCTGGTTTAGGAAAAGACAGCAGTAGGAGATGAAGCACCGTTTAAAGTAAAAGAAAAAAACAAAAGACCTAAATCTTCCTACAGTCCCCCTTGGAAGCCTTTAACAAGTCAAAGGCTTTCTGCAGCACCACACCCACGCTGCAGCGGTTAGCCGCCGCGAGCCAGCCGTTGGTGACTGGTTTTCCATCCAAGCCCGCGGTCTCCTTGCCCCTCACCCTGCAGTCTCAGAGCACGGAGCAGCGCACAGCGGACAACCCCGGGCAGGGCTCATCTCCGCTCTCCGCACGCCCAGCTACCTCCGCAGACCCAAGCTGGGAGGCGCCAGCAGGTGGTCAGCGCGGGCAGCAAGGCCCAAGAAGCCCCCGCGCTGCAAGCCGCGGCTCACCCGGGGGCACGGACAAGAGACCCGGGGGGCGAAAGCGGCAGCCCGCTCAGCGCTACAGGACACCTCACCCGCCAACTGCGTCCTCGTGCGCGCAGGGAGGCGGCCGCACGACCGCGTGGGAAAGGGGTGCGCGAGGCGGGGCGGCCGCGGCTGAGCAGGGAGCCGGCCGCACCACGAGGCGGAACAGCCCGTCGCGGCGG